GGGTTGCAACTATGAGGGAAATTCGTACCACTTTGCCTGTGCATGTCTTACAAGCTCAACAACAACAAGGCACGACTTCGTGGTACACTGGACCCTTAAGACACTGCTCAAGTCCCTGGATGCTCCAGAAGAAGTTCAAAGAAACTTAAAGCAGCCCAAACACTAACAGGTTCCTGCTGTAGTCGTTGCCAGTTGCCACGTGCCCGTGCTGCGCTAATGGCGCGACGGCGATTCAGCGCAGCTCTTCAGCGCAGCTCGGTGACTCTAGGCCCTTTTGCGGATTGATGCTCGATGGAGCGATTCCAGAGCATCGTGACGTCAGACAGTGCACTCTGGCCAAACCAAATGTGCTTGTGCAGTGTGAATTATAAGAATTAAAGAGTATTGAAATATATGCTATAGTCTGGCCACCGAACAGAGATAGTAATAAAACGATTACCTGGTAACTGGCCCCCATAAATCGTCCCAACACCCTCTTAAAAGCACATATTTTCATAGTGGAGCGCATTTGAAACCAATGTTGTTTGTCTTTCATTTTTTTTATTTTAACTCAAAATAATTTAGTAGGTAATTGGAATGTGAATGTTAAATGAAACCCTCTATGCATATTGCCTCATAATATATGAATTAATGCATTTAATAAATTTTATTTATTATAAGAAGGTATAAATTGGGTATAAATCCTCTCGTCTATTGCCTGTCAGGCCCCTCAGAGGTTGAAGGCTCGGTTTTATTACTATCTCTGTTCGGTGGCCCTACTAGTTCAGCTATTGAACAAGTCGATGTTTTTAGTATAGTGGGCTTTTATATTTTATATTATAAATAAAAGGCCAGCAGTTGGCCTTCATTCTCTAGTGGCCCGTAGGACATGACCTAATTGTCCTAACGGATAAAGTGTCCCTGATTCTTGTCTTCCAAATATTCCAAGTGATTGACTTGTAGTATACATCATTTGTATACTTATTGATGCTACAATAAAGATTTTAAAAAAAATCAACATGAATATTTGAAATAGAACCTTTAGTTGAAGAGGTACTTAAGCACAGAAAATAATACCTAAATAATACGGCCATCGGCTATATGTATAGACGAAATAATGAAATCGTTAATAGAAAATCAAGACCAAGACTATGATCACCTATGCGAAAAGCTAACGCTAAAGACCGCTTAGTTGGAGCACGCAAAGAAAAAAATCCAAAATTTGCTCCTTGCAACACTATATTTATACCATTAAATCATCGTTTTTTTTAGGAAAAAAAAATCGATTCCTATAGATAGATTGTTAGTTGAAAAATACATGTTGAATAGCCTCAAGGGAAGCAAACAGGTGATAGTATAACCGAGTATTTTATGACTCGACTAATAAATGATTACCGTAAGTACAACGTATCTACTTTGTGTTTATACGCATGACTTCATAGCTACTTATATCTTCCTGGTTTCATTTAAATTACCTACCTATAATGTAAAGATTATTATTTTCATAGGTGTCCTTTGTTTATGCTAATGGTTTAGTTGTCGGTCTCGGTCTAATCTTATCCCCTAAAGTACCTAGTCTAAATTAGTTTACCTATTTCGGAATTCTGGAAGTACTTCTAGAATAAAAATACAAGTACACAAGAACATATTTTGTTTTCTAATTACTTATTTATAGATAATCAACAATAATAGTTCTGCCACTCGCTTGATGTTGTATCCTTCTATGAACCTTGATATGTAAATGTTTTAAAACGGCACGCAACTATCACTAATTCCTGCTTAAGATAACTTGTTGAAGCCGACAGAAGCCTATATCTTAGTATTCTATAATGAATTGCCTAATAAATTTCAATATTGCACGATATTGTATGTTTTGCGTGCAGAACATTTTTATTGCGTTTTTTTTCCCACGGTTATTTATAAATGTGTTTCATTGAAGAGGGTTTTCTGTTAGACAGTAATTTTTTGGCGTCATTGAATCAAACTGGTAACATACTTATATATCCGCCAACAGACGAAAGTGAGAATTTTTTTACGGGCAAGACAATATGTTGCAATGATCATAACCCAACAAACACAGTACGTACTGAAGACGTACATTTTAGGTCCGTTTTACGTCGGTTCGTCGGGGATGTAAAAATACGTTTTGAGTACGTACGTAAAAGGTTGTATTGATATACAGACAAAAAAGTACGTACTAAGAACGTACGTGAAAATCTATATTGTGTACGTCTTGTAAAAGACGTACATGTTCGTTTCAAAGACGAACAATACAGGACGAGCTGGATCATTCCCATCTATTCATGATTTTTTTATTAATTGCTGACTCGATTTCTGATAATAATATATTTTTTAATAATATGCAATTTCCAAGGAAAAGATATGGAAGTGATCCTTCCAAATTAATCTCTAAACCCTAAACCCAAAAATGCCGGTCAGGTTGACATGGAAAATTCTTATTATTAAACTTAAATAAGGCAGGTCATATAATCAAGGATTTATATTTCATCTAGGTACCTGACCTGTGACCCTAATAAATTGTCAAATGTTGAAATAAACATGAAATAAACCAATAGAATGGAAAACAGGAAGGGACGCCGCGCCGGCCACTTGCATCGGCAGGGTGCAGTGTTGCCAATGACCCGATAATTATCGAAATCTATAATTTTGACTACGATTCAATAATCGATAATCACAAGCTAAATCTACTATAATTTATTGAAACTTCAATTTCAATGCATATTTTTAAAATTTTTAGTTGAAAATTAAAAATTTATTTGGTTGGTGGTTTTGTCGTTTCCCAGCTAGAAATGGATTGAGCTGGCAACACCGTTTGCCTCCTTTGAGTTGAGGCTGTGGTTGCTCCTGTCTGATTTTGCCTTTTTGGTCTTGTATGTGTAGCGTGTAGCTCGTTTGTAGTGTGGTGTGAGGTCGTTGTTTTCTTCTATTTTTTTTTTTTACCAAGTAAAGTGACGCGGGAACCATTTTGTTTTGATTGCAGTAACGCCAGCAACGTGTTTAGCTTTGTTTTTTGTGTATAATAATAATACTTTTATCAAGATTTTTACTGTGTGAAACTTTTCTTGATTTGTGCCCGTTTACAATTCTCTCAATGTTTGTAGGTTATACCTACCTATTTTTTTTTATATTTACTGTTGTTTAAGGTTAAGGTTAAGTTTAAGGGTATGTTATATTTTATAATTGATCTTATGTTATTCATATTTTTTAGTTTTTTAATGTAATTGTTAAGATATTTATTGTATAAAAATTGCCACTTTAAAATACAATATGTATATCCTGTTCACAATCCGATGTCCACAGGTTCAGGTAAATTTATCACCTTTCCCTATCAAATAGCATTGAAATGTGATTTTACCTGTACCTACCTGTGGACATCGGATTGTGGAGGGATAATTGTTTTATTTTTCGCTATAAACATACATATAAATACATATGTGTGATGTTTATGTTTGCCATATATTTTTGCAACCCATCTGAACAGGTTAACTGAATAGGTACCTATCAAAAAGGTATGAATACAACATTTGTATTCACATCTTTTTGAAACCTACCTATCCAATCAACCAGTGCCGGTGGGGTGTAAAAATATATGGGAAAACCCTGTACCTACATCCCAAACACATTCCTAAAAAGCTATACTAAATACGTACGTTAATGTACGTCTCAAATACGTACCTAAAAAGCCGTACTGAGTACGTACCTAAATGTACGTACGTGGGACGCACTATTTTGTGGAAAACGACCGTCATAAAGACGTCCCTCGTACGTCGGCGGGACCTAAAAAGTACGTCCGCGGACGTACTTTTGTCCAAAAAAGTACGAATTATGGACGTACTAAAGACGTACTTGTGTTTGTTGGGAATTGCTGCTAAATTTATTCGGCTTTTGTGTAACGACAGCGAGTGAAAGAAGAATTATTGGCAAGAAAAAAAGTTACATAAAGCCGCAATTTCGTAGGTAGACAACCCAGAAAAATCGTTGATTAATTAATACTTATTTGGAAGTGATTAAGGGTACTTTAGACATAATGATTTTTTTTTCATATACTTATAGTTAACGACTGTTCAAGAAATACATATTCTAAATACTTGCGGCAAGTGAAATGTCGAAGAAAAAGCTGAAGTAATTTCTTCACACTCAAATACACTGAACTCGTTGAAAATAACTAGATCAATAGGTACCATTCAAAATTCAACTTTCCTATATTCAAGAAAATAATACGAAGAATTAAATTCAATCCAAATCAAATTTTTGAGGAATGATGTTTGATGGCGTTGTGCCCAAGTGCCCTCCAAGATGAGTTTACCTCTACTTAGTGCCAATCAATGCTCCGACCCTCCGACAATGAATCATTGCCTGTTCAGTTCAAATTAGTTTTATGCACACTTGTGAAAATTCCCTAGCTTGAAACTTTGATTTGACTACCAAATAATTCGTTGTCTGAGTTGCTCTTCTTTATTAATTGCAATGATGAACGATATACCAAAGTTTTCAAATGACCCTGCAAATCATAATATAGAGGATGAAGATCTGGGCGATCTTGATGGCTAAGCTCAGAATTAGTCAGAAACAAACTGGAATTAATTGATTCCCTATTTGCTTGCCCAAAATGATCATTGTGCAAAAAATATATGATTGTTTCTGTCATCTGTGCTAAGTATTGGGGTTCTGTTTTAAAGTGAAATCTTCCCATTCGATTTTTTCAACAAGAGTAAATACCTACTTTTTTTAGATTAGTTCTTATGTAGGTTCCGAGATTGTGGCTATTTTGTAAAACATCAACCCGATGACAAAAAAACTCAAAAAAGATTATCATTATCGACTACCCAAGACTCTGATGATGTGAGAATTATCAGAAGTGCTGAGAAAGTGGAAAGAAGACATTGAAAGATGTAGAGGATCCCATCCCCTTCATGTAAAAAAAATCTGCAAAAATGATTATCTGAGCGCGACAGTACTGAATCTTTGCAGAAAGCAAACTAACAATATTTAAAATGTATGTTTATTTAAATTGTCAGTTAACAATTATTTATACACATATAAACACTAAACAATCCTTTTACAGATACAAAAAATAGTAGGTACCTACTGCTAAATTAATTTTGGTTAAAATATTTATAGTAATAACTAATACATACATTTTAGAAAAATAAATCACTAATAAATCAGTATTAAAAATCTATTTCTAAAAGTTTAACATTTTTCAACACCAAATTACATATTTAATAGTGGAGAGATTGGATACATCACATCAAAAAAACATTAATAGGTAGATAGTAGTTATTTATTTCATGAAAATAATCTATAGGTTTCCAATCCCTGCCCAAGTCAGAAGTCTTTCAAGGTAAATTTAACACTGCTGATTGCAATGTCCTGCACTGGGATTCCCAGGCATTATTTTGTCCCCAACTTCTTTTGAAAAGAGAATTTTGACGTAGAAAGATTAGAAGGTGCCTTCTGCGGGTCAGCTGACACTTTCTTATAAAATTTTAAATTGATGAATTTTGCTTAGATTTGGAATGTTACTTTATTCATGGACGTAAAATCAGATTGTTTTTTGATTGATTGTGTTTTGTTATTCCATAGGAAATTTTCTTTAGTGCGCCCTGTATGTAAATTTATACATTGTTTCTGAAACCATCCCACGAAAATATATAATGTTAATGTTTAAATAGAAAATAAATACTTATCATAATTAAACCTAAATAAACAATTCCTCAATTTTATAGAGTAATAGAAACTTTTCTAAATTTTTAAAGTATCTGTCATATTATCATTAAATCAAATAAACCTATGTATGTACTTCTAAACCTTCAGACTCGTAAAAATCACATTATCAATTACCCAGATATCAATTTACACTAAGTAAATATTTTTACTTACCAAAATGCCTTTTTTTTAAAACCAAATTTGCAATTATCACACCAACTTGACAAATAAGCTTAGCAATTCAATATCGAAATAAATTTTACAATGAAAAAGTGTAGGTAAACTTGAATATTTGAGCAGCCTTTTTCACTGAAAACTGAAAATAACACCTGCGTTCTTTTTTAAAACAACTGTATGAAATACGAAGTAGATCCGTCCCTCCAGGAAGGATCGTCTACGATTTTAGCTCTGCACAATGGACAAGTCTGTTCCCGATCGAACCAGGTTGAAACGCAACTTTCGCAGAAAATATGACGACACTGCAGTAAAACTGGAGAGTCATAGTTGTCGTGACATATTGGACAATGATCTCCTGCTATTTGGATTTGATCTTTACTAGGCGAAGATCCAAGAGACTGAAAAAAAAACAGCATATATTAATATTGCCTATGTGCTACGCATAAAAACGAATTACTTACCACAGTTTGTAGCAACTTGAAAAATGCAGTTTTTAGCAATTTAACTTTGAACATCAGATCCGAACCTTTAGAAATCATATAAAATGCTGATAAGAACACGGCTACAATTTTTTCTGGTCCCTGATAAGACTCCAAAAGGTAGTATAGCCATGGCTGGATTGTTGCTATACTTCTATAGAGTTGTGATAAGGCTTCAATAAACAAATAGATTTTACCCTAAAATTATAGCATTTAGGAAATTAAATAAATAAATAAAGGTGTATTCCAATACGTACACGTTTTTTAAACTCAACTATTTTAGCAGGCAACATTGTCAGAATTATTTTGATCTTTACTGTTATAAGTTTAAGTGTAAAATCTGCAAAAAAAATCAAATTAAATGTAAGTTTTCTCATTCCATTGTCATAATTTACCTGTAATAGTCACAATCCACAAAAGATTTAAAACGGTTAAAGGATGATTAAATGTCCTGATTAACACAAGATTCAAAACTATATTAAAGTGATGTAAGTCGTCCTCAAACAAAAAATGTATGGATAAAATACACACAATAATGTAACATAGTTCCACGCTTAAAATCCATATACTCCTTCTGGCTCTTTTAAGTGCCTCATGTTTAACCGTAGTGTTGGCATGAGAAAATGTTCCAAAGAGTATGACAAGGATGAAAATACCTTCATGGAAGTCATATATCGCTTTGGCAAGGAGAATTAGAAGAAACGGAACATATTTGAAAATGACCTAGAAGAAATATAGAGTGATCCTTGTCCTAAATCCTCAATAGATAAATTATCTACCTGTAATGCTTGCTGAGTTTCAATAGGATTGGCAGCAATTCTTTCTGCTACATTTTCTCCCAGTTCAATATCATTTGGTGGAGCATTGTTACCGTAAGCAGCATCTTCATGGATGTGATTATGTTCCTCTTGATTGTTATTTACAACATTTTGAGCTGGTGGGTCATTGTTTAATGCGCCTAAGAAATATGTTATAAATCGTTCAAAAAAATCTATTGCTGATAAGGAAACCACAATACAATAGTACTACACTCTTTCTCATTTGTTTTTGTTTATTTTTGCAAAAGACTTACCTTCCAAATTAATAGAAATATAACTCAATGATGTTGAAGGATTATTCTCCTGATTGTTAGCTGAAATGTTTCCCTCTGAAGACGGCTGACGTGATAATAATTCTGATATTGTTATAGCGTTTTGCCTAACAGATCTGGCTGTTTCAACTAGTGGTTCAATTTGTCGGATAGCATTATTAAAGCTGCAAGAAAATTAATAATAAAACAATAAATTGGACTGTTGCAATGTTTTCTCACCTAGCTCTTATATGCCTTGCCCCATCCAATGTCCTTCTCTGGAAGCTTACAGGTGAAGACAAAATTGGCAAAGTTCCGCTGGAATGTGACATCATAAGTCCTTGTCTGGGTTGTTGAAAAGCAAAATCAGCAGACTGACTTCTTTGGAACGGGACGCTGATATTATTTTGGAAATTATTACTCATGTTGAGTTGTAGAAAAAATAGATTTGGGCTATGAAATTTGACGCATTGATTTGCACTGAAAATTAAAAAAAAAGATGTAATAATTTTTTTGCCAATTTTACTGTAGGAGTGGTTCCTTTTGAAAATTCATGGCAACATCGATAAAAACAACATAAATCCAGAACAAAAATGCATATTTTATTGTCATCATACTGATAATGATGATGCAATAATACAATGCAAAGAAAAGCATTTGTATATATTGTTTTAAAGTTTAGGCAAATTGTTGATAACAAGTAAATTTGAATGCATTTGAATTTAACCATAGTTAACAAATAAATAATTTATTAATAAAATAGATTCACCTCAAACTCTCATTTGTTGCTGCTGGAGCTAAAAACTACTTTCTTTAAAAAGCACTAATAATAATTTTGAATTATAAAATTGGAACCTGGCCACTAATCTTTGTACATGTTGAAATTTTAAAATACGTGAGAAGTAATTTATGAGCTGCGGAATGACGTTTTTTCGAGTCTTATCGGTAATTATGTTTGCGGTTTTATCATAATAATAATAATAATAAATTCCTTTCAACAAAGTAATTTCCCCACTATGAATCAATAATAAAATGAAAACATCAAGCATCAAGCACAGCTGATTTGGATTTAGGATTTTGGGGTTATGTTGGTAAATGTCAAATTTCTCGTCGTTTATTTATAGCGATTTCATTTGGCTGAGCTAGGGCAACACGTATTCCAAAAATAAGGGTTTTTTTCTCAAGCACTCTATAAATCATGGTAAATTAGAGAGTTCTCGTGCCTCAGTCGCTACGCTAATACGATACCGCTAACAATACGGTATTCTACATGGTAATTTATAGTTCTCGGACACTGAGACACAAAAATCCTCTAATCCCTTAGGCCATGTTTATGTTGGAGCTGTGATAAACGATAAAAGCAACGATACTAAAAATCGACGAGAAAATTAAATAACAAGTACAGCCTGAATCACAAGCATTCCATCGAGGTCTGCGGGTGACTTCACCACTATTAGCTGCTGATGTGGTGACGTCACTCGCAGACCCTGCCGACTCAAGAACGTATACCTTATTAGGATGAGCATTGAGCAATCCTGTTACTCCTGTTAGTTTACGATTCTTTAGGCCAGGGCAGATAAATTTTTTCGTAACATAAAATTTAACAGCAAACTATCGATGCAATACTGTTAGGGATCATTTATAGATGCTGAAAACCAAAAATGCAACATCTAATTACTTTTAGAGGATTTTATAGACAATATTTATTGTAAAAATAGGGCTTTTTTTTTTGTTTATTTCATTGTATTTCGAAAACTAATGATCGGATGGTTTTCTACTATGGCAATAGTTTTAGAGCATTGAACAAGCTTTAAAATGAGCCATCATACAACTCTGTAGGTCTTTTAGTCTTCGAGAAATGATTTTTTTCCCCCCAAAAAAGAGATTTTTGTTAAAAATTCCTAACTTTTTTAATTTTCATGCTAGACAATTAATTTTTTACACATACATAGTAGATGAGGCAAGCATTATTGAGCCCAAATTTGGGCCCGGTCCGATGGGTCGTTTCGGCATAATACCCTGCTTGTCAAGCAAAATGGGGATGTTTCTAAAGCAGTCTGTCGAATTGAGGATAATTTTTTTATATTTATTTTGAAAAGTCCACTGATAAGTCGAAATGCCAAACTATCGATCCTTACATTTTTTTTCCATTTACAGTGATGTTCGGAGCCGTTTTACTTGCGATAGAAAAATTAAATGGAAAATCTGAGATAGAGGATCGATAGTTTGGCATTTCGACTTATCAGTGGACTTTTCGAAATAAATACCTATGAAAAAATTATCCTCAATTCGATAGACTGCTTTAGAAACATCCCCATTTTGCTTGGCAAGGGTATTATGCCGAAACGACCCATCGGACCGGGCCCAAATTTGGGCTCAATAAAGCCTGCCTCATATACTATGTACCTATGTGTAAAAAATTAATTGTCTAGTATGAAAATTAAAAAAGTTAGGAATTTTTTACGAAAATCTCTTTTTTTGGGGGAAAAAATCATTTCTTGAAGAGTAAAAGACCTACAGGGTTGTATGATGGCTCATTGTGAAGCTTGTTCAATGCTCTAAAACTATTGCCAGAGAGTAGCAAAACCATCCGATCATTAGTTTTCGAAATACCGTGAAATAAACAAAAAAAACCCTATTTTTGCACTAAATATTGTTAATAAAATCCCCTAAAAGTAATGTAGATGTTGCATTTTTGGTTTTTAGCATCTATAAAATATGATCCTTGACAATATTGCATCGATAGTTTGCTGTTAAATTTTATGTTAAAATATGGCTGTTATTTCGCTAAGTGCCTTGGCCTACTTGGGTTTTGATAATAGTATATTATGCAATGATCATGTAATGATAGCCATTAATACACGAGCATGTTGTAGGATATAACATGCGAGTGTATTATTGGCCATTACATGAGAGTTGCATACACTATTTTTTCTAATTGCATTAATGAACGAAAATAGTTATTTATGCAAAGTGTGTAAAGTGAACCTTTTTTCACGAATGTGAATTTTGACGCACGAGCCGAAGGCGAGTGCGACAATCACATGCGTGAAAAAAGTAATTTACCAAAAAAATGCCAAATTGACAGTGTCGACAACTGTCATTGACATTACTTTACGCACTAGTGTGTGAAGTGAATTACTTTACGCACTAGTGCGTGAAGTGAAATTTTACATCTTCTGATTAGTGCGTAAAGTGAGTACTTTAAGCACGTACGATAGTAGAAAAAAATCTTTTTTTTTGTGGCCATTGGAAAATAAACAACTTTCCTCAAAAATCATTTTCTGCAACGTAAAAAAAACATTACATATTTCAAGCCTGTTGTTTTCGTCACTCGTTAGACATTGCCCGCACTCATTAAGAAAATAGCAAATAGCTGTATAATAAGACGTCTGTTTCTGCAGAAATCACAAACTAGTCAGAGCGAATTTCATTGCTTAAAAACACTCAGAAACAGTCAGAAAATTAGTTTCAACCAATGAAATTCACTCTGACTAGTTTCTGATTTCTGCAGAAACAGACCTAATATTATAACAATTTTGTAAACAACTATAAATGCAATTTATTAGAAGAAATTATAAATATGTTTCAAAACTTGATTTGCATGATAAGACTTTCTATATTTTTCCCGTCATCATTTTTTTTTATTAAAGGGGGTGTGACCCAAAAATGAAAGTTTTAGTGTAAAAAAATCTAAGAATAAATATTCAAACCGCATCTTGCTACGATGGTCCGTTTACGAGTTAGGGCAGTTTTAAGTTACAACTACGCTTTTGTGACGTCACACTGGATTTTCAAGGACAGTATTAACACGTGTGAAAATTCTCCAAAACAAAAGATAATTATCTCCTAGAGCGAATTGCAACTACTCAAAGTATAGAGTACGGTTCACTGACGACTGAACGACCAGAAGACTGCGATTTCGGCGGTTGTGACATCACAATTTCCTGCATAATTGATCTTCACAAGGAATTTTCTCGGAGACTATTTTCAATACAGGACTGCGGTTTTCACGAGGGATCTTAGAATTTTTTTCTTGAGTTAAGTAGCTTAAGTCGTTTTTTAGGGTGACGCCCCCTTTAATCATTACATTCCTTTATAATTTAATCATTCGCCTCCAATCTCCAATTTTAATAGACAAATAACAAAAACCTGTAATAATCTTGTAAATACTGATTAGGTCTAACCCAAAGAAAATAAAATACTTTCACGTCAATTTGGCAACACAGCACTCCTAACCAAACTTTTAAATTGCCGGTTTTGCTTGATTTTTGTAACTTGTGTTTTTTCGTGTTTTTATTTATTGTTATTGTATTTGTATATGTAGTATTATAATGCTCAGTAGATTGTTGGTATAATATTGTGGGTCGCAGGTTGGGATAGTAAGGTTACCTTATTCTTTGTGATGGTGGAATAAAAACATGCGGATACTCACTGGGCTTTTGCAGTAAAGCAAGTGAATATAATCAAGTTTTTCTCTAGAATAAAATGATTTTGATTGTTTTACCCGAGGGGCAAACCGCCAATGTATTCCAGTAGGAACCTATTCTTTATGTATGCCCCATGCCCTAATGTACCGGGTGTTTTTTTTATCTTTGATATCATTTTGATCACCTTTTTGTTTTTAAAAATATCAAAGGTAAACAAAAAAACAAAATGTAGGGTTAGTAAGTACCAAGTTTTTTTTCAAGTTACACATAAAACAAAACACTATCAATTTTTCGACATATAGTCCTACATTATATTTTTTTAAATAGAACACCCTGTATATTATACATGTGTTTGATAGAATATCTCATTCCGATTACAATGATATAACACACTTTATATTTTAGTCCACTCGTTTGTGACAATAATCGGCAAAAATATAAAACTTTTAAAGTGAAACTTATTAGGCGGAGGTCTGATATTTGGAACGAGAATTATTATTGAGAGTGTATATAAAAATTCCATATTTTTGACGATTTTTCAAAAACGGAGTAAACTAGAATATGGAGTGTTATATCATTTTAATCAGAATAAGATATTCTATCGAACACATATAGGTATAATATACAGGCTGTTCCAATTAAAAAAATATAATGTAGGCCTATGTGTCAAAAAATTGATAGTGTTTTGTTTTATGTGTAACCTGGAAAAAAACTTGGCTACTAACACTACATTTTGTTTTTTTGTCTATTATCCGTTCACAATCCGATGTCCACAGGTACAGGTAAAATTTATCACCTTTCAATGCTATTTGATAGGGAAAGGTGATAAATTTACCTGCACCTGTGGACATCGGATTGTGAACAGGATAAGGATATACCTTGATATCTTTAAAAGAAAAAAGTTACAGGTGATCAAAATGATATCAAAGATAAAAAAACACCAGGTACCTTTTCTTATGTATTCATAATTATGTATTCCTTCATATTCTTATGTATTCTCGAGTGTATTTCTTCAAAATTTGAATGTTTATCCGCCTCCTCGCCACTTTTTTAAGTTGTGATTATCTGCGCAAGTCAAAACAAACATCCAGATACATTTTCTTTTATGATCTGACCTCCGATGTGTCAAAAAAATACAAAGAATGCTTTGGAGTGAATTTCTGTTCCGTAGTGAAACTAATAACAGAAGTGAAACCTTGCCTGAAACATGTATCAGCGCTCCCGAACACTCCGAACAGTCGCCTGCCTTTGAATAACTCCAGCCAAACATAGGCAGTCAGCCTTGCGGGATATTGTTCAGCAGAATCGCCAGCAGATCTATGACTTCAACGTTCTCCACAGTCGTCAATTACATCTACAGCTATATCTACGTCTGTATCTGAGGATGAAGTATAAATGAAGCGTTTAGTTGACGATTCTTCAGATGACGAAATGCATTTAGGAACCTTAAGTAGCGAAAATACTTCAAATGGAATCATATTGAAGGAATATTCCGCCTATGAACATTAATGGTATATTGTAGATGTACTGGAATAGAGAACAACAAATACGCGACTCATTTTTTTAGAAGAGCATCAGATAAGGTATGAGACAAAACAGTTAATTAGTTAGTTTTACAAT